ATGCTCGACAAAACTACAGCGAACATATTTTAGAGTGAAGAAGCACAGCCGCGAATAGGACAAGAAAATGATTACTTTGGATAGATTTTGCAAAATCTGCCAACTCTGTTTCTTTCTCTCTCTTGAAAATTCATGCCATGGATGCCCATCAGAAAGTTCATCAAAGAAAAAGCATCTTAAGCAAAACGAAAATTTTAAATCGAGCAGCTTGTTGCATGCCCCAAGCTGGACTTCATACTTATAAGTCGATTTGGCCGGGTAATTTACATGCCGAGTTGGCGACTCGGTTCTCGAGCTGTATTCAAATGGGGCTTAAGAAAAAACCAACAGCAAAAAGCAGTCGCATGATGAAAGTCGCAGATTTGGAGACTTATGTATGCATAATGTGCGACGCATGAGTCGATGTGAGGGGGGCGTGGAGAGGGACAGTAGCTACACTGCACCAAATACCTAATTATTGATCATGACAATGTTCTCAGCAGCCGCATTATGGCCAATTCTCTGCCTAGAAGTCAGCTGCTGCTCGCGAGCTTTACACATAATGTGACTGCTGTGAAATTCACGATTCAAGCGTTTGCCCCTCCACCCCCTCCAGAAAGCCTTCACCCAAGCTCTTCGCCCCGCCAGTTACGGCCAGTTACAGCCGTGAGCCATGGGATTTCCATGGTTTTTGGCTAGAAAAGTTCAAATTGGTTGAACTTTATGGTGTTCCATATAGACCAGACCGACTTGTGAACCAACTGGACGGCAGGTTGTCCCTTTTTTGGCCAACATGACCGAGGCTTAGGCTCAGGCTGCATCTGAGGTTCGGGTTGCTCGGCTGTAGCTCTGGCCAGAAGGTGACCAAGGGCCAGAAGACGATGATGTTTTTTTGCTGTTGGCTTCGCTCTATTGCGCTGCTTTTGGCGCTCTTCGGCCTAATCAAAAGTCAAAATCTTTGCTCGCTGCCCACAAAACGTGATGCAGTAGGAAAATGCTGACGATGACTTGTTGTTGCATGCTGCCGCATGCTGCCTGCTGCCTGCTGCCTGCTGCCTGCTGCCACATGATGGCATTTTGGTGAATGCATAAGCTTGGACAATCAGCCAAGTGACTAACTGACTAACTGACTGACTGACTGGCTGGCTGACTGACTGACTGGCTGACTTGAGGAGCGTCTAGTCTAACATGGACCTTAGCCATTAGCCAAATGGCGCAATTGCTTTTATTGGCGCTGAAGCAGAAGCCGCTGCCATTGCGGCCGCTCCCGTTGACAACTTGGAAAATTATGAACATTTATTTGGGCTTGCCTTGCCTTGCTGCACCTCCCGCAGCAGTTGCCCCTCACCAGCTGCCCGCCCCCGCTCGCTAGCTCTCTCTCTCTCTCTCTCTCTCGCTCAGTCACTCTGGCAACGTGCCACACAACCAGTTGGTGGCAATCGTCGCCGTCGTCGTCTTCATCTCTGTCGCTGGTGCGAGATCTCGCACAATGCACAGTGGCTACCAAGTGAACGGGCCCAGCCCAGAAGCGTCTGCCCATCTGGCAAGTCGATTGGGTCGGAAAGTGTGAATTAGATGGAGACATTTCCCTTAAGCCAAAATTGGTTTTTGTAACAAAATGATATTGATCTAAGGCCATAAAGGAGTATTTTGAACATAATTTTTAATGTTATTTAACAATATTGCTCGAATCTTGGCCCAGTTCTGAATACGACTTAACATATTTCTGTTCTTATATAGATGCAATAAGTATATGTAAACATGTACTTACCCAAAAATTCGCATATTGATTGTCATCTTAAAGTAGAATGAAGACAAAGTTGTGAATCACTAGAAAAATAAATGAAGTTTGATTAAAGGCGGCAGAAAGAGAGAGCCGTAAAGTTCAAGAGAGCTAAAGAGACTTTATTTAAGTAAGTTTTGTGCAGAGATAACGTTAATTGCATTGTCAGCACAACTTGTTGATTAAATATTTATAATCAAAGCAGAAAAAGCTGAAAGTATTAATTAAATGCATGAGAATCGCATAGTAGGGCACTTGCGGTTCGAAATTGATTAAAACCGTTTGAATGTAGCCCTTTACCAGATCGATGAGAATATTGACTTAAAAATTAACTTTCGCTTTCTTTCCCGAAATTCAACTTTCGTATGTAACATAATCTTATATAATATACATAAGTCTGAATTAGTGTATTTTAGCTAACTTTCCATATATAACAGTAAGAGGTTCTAGTCGGGAGCTCCCGACTTGGGGATACCCTGAACCCTCTTCTTCCAATATCAAGTGCATATATATATTTCATTTTTACGTCAAGTTTGGAGACTCTAGCTTTTATTATTTACCAAAATCACCCAAAAAACAGAATATCGATATAGATTTCGATTGCTTGGAAACGGAGTAAGTTATCGATTATCGGAAACAAACTCGATCTGCGCAGGCACTAGGAGCACCTACATCTAATTTCAAGTCTATAGTTCTTATATGCCCTGAGATCCTTGCGTTCATACATACAGACGGACGGACGGACGGACATGGCTAGATCGACTCGACTATTGATGCTGATCAAGAATATATATACTTTATGGGGTCGGAGTTGCTTCCTTTTGCCTGTTACATACATTTGGATTTTGCACAAATACAATATACCCTTATACCCATTTTTATTGGGTCCAGGGTATAAAAAGTAAATTTAAATATTTTAGGTTAATTCTAATAGGCGACTGAAATCGAATATCTGCAAAATCTGATTTCCAAATCTGATTTCGTTTGTTGAAATAATTTGCAGATGATAGTAAATATAAATCTGTAAACAACTAAGGGAATCTGAAGCTGGCGCTCTCTAGAAACTAATGGACGCTATCTCAGCTGTTTGTTGTGATGTTTGCAAATTGTATCTTAAAAGGAAAGCAAACGATCAGCTACAAAATGTTGCCAGATTCAAGATGTGCGATGCGAAATGAGAGATGGAAGTGTTTTCTTTTTCTTTTTTTTTTTTTTTTTTTTGCTCAAGATGATTGCACAACCGGCTGCACATGCCGATCGAACTGTCTGTCAGTCTTAACGGGGCGTCCATTTGTCTGGGCGCATAATCCCATCGAGTAGATCTCACATATCTAATGGATTTTGCACACATTACGACAACAGCCAGGACAACAGATGCACCAGCGAAAGCGAGAGCGAGAGCGTGCGAGGATGTCCCCTGATGTTATCCAATGTTTAAGGTACTTGGCAGAGAAACTCATCTTCTTGGCAAATATCATTGCGTAGCTGGGCCTCGTCCTCGCGGCTCTTCGGCTGCTGATCCTGCTCGGCTCTGCCCCCTCCCCTTCCCCCAATTAAGATCAATCACATTTTGAATGCGCATCGAAGCGAACGGGCAGCGCTAAGCAGATAAACCATTCCAAAATCTCTCTCGCACTCTCTTCATGTGGTTGGTTTTTTCTTTCTTTTTTTTTTTAGAGAAAACCGGACGGCGTGCGAAAATGAATAGAAAGCCGAAGGAGCAGCAGTTGCCGCTAGAGGAGAAAGAATAGAGAGTGTCAGAGAGAGACAGAGGGAGAGAAAGAGGGGGGGCGAGAGAGGGAGCAAGAGATAGCGGGGGTGTGAGTGTGCGCCAGCGCATTGTGCGATATTTGTAAAAAAAAAAAAAAGAAAGAAAAAAAGGAGAATAAAAAACCGCTAGGCATTTGTTCCTGAAGTATTTCATCCCACGTCCCTGGAGGATGGTGCGCCGTCCGGCGCGGGTCCATTTTGCTATTTTCAGCAGGATGATGGGGCAGGATGTTGGTACCGCTATAAAAAAAGAAAACGGTCGAAGCGTCTTAAGTTTCCTTTTCATTTATTTTCTGCTTTTGTCCACACACACACACACGCGAAATGGGAACAAAATAAGAAAGCAGATACCGTAGAAGGTTGCCGTCATAGGTGGTTACAATTCCACCCCCATCCCCGCCTCCACTCCCCCATACCAGCACGTCTTGCGTAACCGTGAAATAATAAGAATCGGCCTATAAATATACATATATACTGGGGGGTAGGGGTCCCGTCGAGCACAGGTCATTAGAGGTCATTATGGTAGGCATTCGATTGATTAGTGAGGATTTTGTTACTGCGATTGCAGAGTTTGGAGCTTAGTTTTAACTCAGTTGCTGTTCAAGTGGTACGGCAAATGGGTTCAGATATATTAAACAAATGTTGAAAACAAAGCACGATTGAGTTATGTGTAGAAAAATACAGCAGGGTATCTGCAAAGCAATGTATGTGAGCAGAGGTAACTGTGATAAGTAATTTAATTTATAAACCTTATTTAAAAAAAGATTCTTGAGTTATAGGTATGAAAAGTCGACATACCTTATATCATATCATATCCTGTTACCAATTGGTAAAATAATGTTTCTTTTTATTATTAAACGATGTTGGATGGAAGGGTATAAGCTGAACAGTCTGGCAGGAAGTAATGCGAAAGGCTTTCCAAACAATTATTATTAATATTATAATCATCTTCACATAATATTATAATTGTTATCATTATCACTCTAAACATAAATCATCTCTCGGAATTTTTGATTAACAAATACATCGAATAGTCGAAGGACATAAAGTCCTTCATTCAAATGCCAAAAGTAATGTCGTTCAACAATAGACCCAACGACTTGACACTTCATTTCAGGCAAATTTCATTATCCAGCCCGTGGGATACTTTCATACTTTCATACTTTCAGAGTTCGGGGTCCAGTGCCAGAGAACATAGATGCTTGTCTGACTGATGGTATCGTGTGGGTGTGTGCACCTTGTGCACTGTGATTGAAAGGAAATGCCATGTGTGTTACAAATTTTCGAATGCCATGGAAATTATGAAAATAAACTGGACCCAGCAGCAGTAGGGGCAGCAGTAGGGGCAGGGGCAAAGGCAAGGGCCAGCCAGCAGTACAACGATTTCCGGTAATTCCCACAGTACGTTCGTATTAATCAGGAGCAATAGCACCTTATTCTCTCACACACACAAACACACAGTCTCACGCCCGCATGTGTAGCAAGTGCAATGGACAGGACGAAGGACTGACAACTGAAAACTGTGAATCCTGCGAGAGGCTTTGTGTATGCTGATCGCGTTCGTATCTGGCTTTGATCTATTATTCCATTTTCAGCGTGTTTACAAACACATCAGAGCGCCAGGGCTGCTACCTGCTACCTTTGCCAGACTCCACCTACCTGGCCCTCGCACAGACGTGGCACATCTGGTACCGTTAAGCTGTGGCCGCACAGCAGGAGCCGCACAAAGGTCAGTCACAGGACACAGGACGAGTACAGCACTTGGCAGTCGATTCATTTCCGTGTCGATTGCGGTCAGTGGACTTCCTGGTCCTTGGGATCTGGCTGCTGCCGTTGCTGTTGCTGCTGTTGCTGCTGTTGGCTGGCCCCTGGTCTATTGCCCGGCACTAATCCAGCGTGTGTTTTCATTGGATTTTGAATGAAGAGCGTTGATGAGCCAAATTGCTTAAGCAGGTATCTGTGTATTGTCCATTATCCTTTGTCGGTATGCGCTACTAATTATTGCCGGCGAAATCAAAAAACCACAGCAAATGATCCTTTTGCGGATCTACACCTTAATTGCATTTTTCTCTTTTTGTGAGGAAACACTGGACCAAGCCAAAACTAAACTAAAGAAAACCCCAAGCTGGACAACAGCAGCAGTTAATGAAATCCTTCGAGTCAATCGATTTTGTGCATTGCAAACCAATTGCCATTAAATGGAAAGGAAGAAAAACTCTCTCATCCGGATGGAGGATTAAACACATGACCAGAATCGTATGAGTTTGCCATAGAAAGGGAAATTCTGTCTAAAATCACAGTCAACTGCGTACATTAATATGAAAATAGTGAATGTTAATAGCCTGCATTACCCGGCTTTGTCCGAGCCAAGTTTAGGCGTGAAACATGTCTCAAATAAGTTCTAACATAGATCTCTGAAGGGGACTCGACTGCATGGCAGACCAAAAAAGTTTCGTATAACTTCGTTAAAACAATTTTTGACCTTTTGTGAGTCGAATAAAACCACGTTTAAGCATGCTTTAAAATCATATAAGTTAAATACATTCAAAGTTTCCAAGCCAATGTGGTTTAAGCCGTACATGAATCGTCAATTAGTCGGCCGACTTATCTAGAAGAAGCACGTTAAACTCTCAACCAAATACTTTGCTAATGAGCAATATTGGGAAATTGTGTTTTAGTGCGTGTCAGCGAAGAGCTTTTCACTTTCCCAAGGCTCTAATGTGTGCGGCTTCCTTTAAATTGGCCGCATGGAAACCAGCATTGTGAAAAAAATGATTTGAAAAGAGTTACAGAATACCGAATTTAAATAGATAGATAAACATAGAAATCACGGTGGAAGCATCCCCTGAATAGGGTAATGATTTTTTGTATTTGCTTTTTTATTCTGCTTTTTTTTGTTGGTACCTACATGACCTGCCCGACGAGGCAGCTACACAAAAAGGCGAGCAGCGATGTGGCGGGGTGCGAAATTGGTTGGAAATGTCGCGGTATTTGGTATACGGCAGCGCGGGTCATCGAGGACTGCCAATGAAGTTACCCCTGAAGATGCGACCGCTGACAACGAGCCCGCAACCCGCGACCCGCGATCCGCGATCAGCGATCAGCGACCCGACTGCCCCGCTAACCCTTGTGGCATTCGCATATGCAAAGGACGCATGTAAATTAATAAATTATAGTCAACTAATGAAAAGAGAGAAAAATTGAGAGGAAAAGCGAAACGGTAGATGGGAAGTGCACATACAACAAAAAAAGTGCCCGTGTGATCCATGTCAAATGCCTATAAAAAATTGTCTACGACCTTTTTCTGTGTGTGCCTGTTAGTTGTGTATGTGTGTGTGTGTGTCATAGTTTTTTCTATTAGTTCCGGTTTATTAGGGGTAAATGTTTTTTTTTTTTGCGCAGCCCTTTGGCTGCACCACTTCGGACGAGGCGACGCTTATGCATATTTAAAAATTCAAAAAAAAAAAAAAAAAAAACAATTCCGGGTCTTCTGGTTATTCAATATTCGCGGGTATCGCCCCGCAGGATCCGCATACAGGGCACAGGAAGTGCATATGCATATATATATATATATTTATATGTGCATACATACATACATATAATTACATATGGCCATATAGAATTCTGCATAAGCATTGCCTGGTCTCGATGTCTTCGGCTCTGTCGTGGGAATTGAAGAGCGTTGAAATAAATCAAAGTGCAAGGCAGCAGCGACAGCGACAACTCTCAAAGATACAGCACACACATATACAGATACAGACACAGTTGCAGCTACATATGCAGCTAAAAGATGCATTTCGCTGGCGACTTGGAGCATTGTCATCATTAGCAAGCGGATGCAGGCCTCAGTGCTCCACTCGAGCTACCCCTGAGCTACCGACTCGAGCCCAAAAGATCATTCGACAAGAGGAGCAGCTGCAGAGGGGGCAAGGGATGGCGGTCGGGGAGTCGGGGGTGCGGGGGAAGACAGCTACGGGAACGCATCCAAATGGACACACATATGTGTCACATGACCAGAATCCGTGCTAACCAAACTTTATGTCTCACACTCCCTCACACACTCCCTCTCTTTCTCTCTCTCTCTCTCTCTCTCTCTCTCTCGTACTTGGCCACTTAAGAGTGCGCACTGTACACCGAACTGATCGTTTGACATCCTGTGTGCACACAGTTCGACTTCCGTGTGCACACATACATTTCACTTTTGGGGGTCTTGAGTGTATCCACAACTCGACTTCAAACATAGTTTAATAAATAATTGCAGACAAGTTTGTCCTGTATCTGTATCTGTATCTGTATCTGTATCTGTATCTGTATCTGTATCTGTATCTGTATCTGTATCTGTATCTGTATCTGTATCTGTATCTGTATCTGTATCTGTATCTGTATCTGTATCTGTATCTGTATCTGTATCTGTATCTGTATCTGTATCTGTATCTGTATCTGTATCTGTATCTGTATCTGTATCTGTATCTGTATCTGTATCTGTATCTGTATCTGTATCTGTATCTGTATCTGTATCTGTATCTGTATCTGTATCTGTATCTGTATCTGTATCTGTATCTGTATCTGTATCTGTATCTGTATCTGTATCTGTATCTGTATCTGTATCTGTATCTGTATCTGTATCTGTATCTGTATCTGTATCTGTATCTGTATCTGTATCTGTATCTGTATCTGTATCTGTATCTGTATCTGTATCTGTATCTGTATCTGTATCTGTATCTGTATCTGTATCTGTATCTGTATCTGTATCTGTATCTGTATCTGTATCTGTATCTGTATCTGTATCTGTATCTGTATCTGTATCTGTATCTGTATCTGTTACTATATCTTTGCCTGTCATCTGTATCTGTAGCAATGCGAGGAGTGGGAGCAGGCGAATCGATGCGGACACAAAGTACAGTAACACAAATTGAAACGGACACTAAAAATAGCCACCCCTCCGGTACGTTAAGGGCAACGGCTGGGGCGCATCAATAGTAGTGACTGAATTGGGCCCCGGAGCAAGCAGGAGCCAACGCTGAGGCTGAAGCTGTGGCTGCAACCGCGGCTGGACGTGGACGGTTGAATAAATGAAGCACGCTCAGATTCGGAATGACGTTAAGTAAACAGAGTGGCAACCATGTCAATGTCAAACGCACTCGCCACATGGGCCGTGACGCGGTTGCAGCATCTTCACATACACACACACACACACACGCACACCCACCCACGCACACGCACACGCACACACGCCCACGCACACCAATGACACATATGTGAGGCCATGTAACGGCAAATGCTGCTCAAAGATACTTTTTGGACACAAGCAACAGGACGCGCATCGCTTGAAATTCAGTCGCCCCTCCATTTTAATGCTGTTGTATAAGTGCGCACGCACACGCACACACACACACACACACACACGTAACTGTGTATTACGCACATCGAGTGTCGCCTTGGCGTCATCCACACGGTCACCGCGTCCACGCATCTGCAGCAGGCAATTCAAACATTTTTTGTATCCAACGGATGCGCATGTTTATTTTAGTCACTTGCGGCTGTGTGTGTGTGCAGTACCGAAACGGTTAGTCATAAGCAACAGCGTCATTAAACCCCCCCTCCTCGCCCACACACACACACACACACACACAGCTTCCCTCCCGGCTAGTCCTAGTCGCACAGATATATTGTCTATTTTGGTACGAGATATTTCCCCGACCGTTGCCAAAGTCAAAGTCAAAGTCAAGTTCAACGGCGATCGGCGCTCTACAAATGCGAATGCTGCCTGATCTGTCTCTCTCTCTCTCTCACACACACACTCTCTCTCTCTCACTTTCTACACGTAATTATAGTTTTCTTCTTCTTTGTCTTTATGCTGAAGGAAGTGAAACATTTCCGCCGCATGCGTTTCTTTGATTGTTTGTAAACCAACAGATTCGGATATATCTCATTTTATTTTATTATTTACCCTAAGAAATATTTGGTACATTTTGAAATGAATTTCAGATTTCTTAGCTAAAATGCATAAAAATATTTAAATAAATAATCAAGGATCAAAAACATAAACCACATCTGCAAAATTCGGCTCAGTAAAGTTTTGGGCTTGGCCAGTTCAGGGAGGAGGGCAGTTCCACATCAAATGGATCAATTTTCGGACTCGATTGTAATATGACATAACAAGTTGCATAAAGAGAGTGACAGAGGGGTGGAGAAGGGAAGGAGGAGTAGTGATTATAATGCAACTGATCTGCTGCAAGTGACCAGCTGGGCAAACGCTAAGTTGGGCAAGCTGTGCCCGGCTTCTGCTTGCAACGGACCTGCAGAGGCAGCAGCGGTTTTTGACTGCGCCAGGATTTGCCTTTTTGCGGCACACGAAAAAGGACACGCAAATAGTGTGTGTGTGTGTGTGTGTGTGTCTAAGTGTGTGCGTTGTTGTCTTTTGCAAAACAATAGCGCACAAACGGGCCGGCAAATTGTTTTATTGACAGCCGCCGCATTCGGTTCGGCGATAAAATCAATTTACTGCCCGTTCAAATCTCTGCACGTCCGACTCTCTCTCTCTCTCTCTGTCTCTGTCTGTCCCACTGTGCAGGCCAGTCCCACTGTGCCAGCCGCTGTGTTGGTCGAGGCGTGAGGTTTATCGTACGTATGCAAAAAAATAGTGTCTACCTCTGTGTGTGTGTGTGTGTTGCTGTGTGCCCGTCGCACGCACGATTTATCTAATCCATATTCAAATTTCGGACAATTCCCCCACCCCCTTGCAGCGAGACGGACCCAGCCCCTGGTCCGGCGGCAGGAAGCCCTCGACTCAATGCGACCGCTGCAACATTTTGTTTGCGGTTGAGATTTATTTTTATTGAATTGCAAAAAATTAGCAGCCCTCCGTGGAGGGGTTGGAGGGGAGGAGGCAGACCCTGATATGACCAGATTTTTGGCAAATTGTGCAAATACATTCTCCACCTCTGCCTCTCCCTCTCCCTCTCTCTCTCTCTATGCAGTTACCTCTGCTCTTGTTTTACTGTTTGCTTGGCTCATTTGTGAGCTCAAGAACTATCGAAGGTGGGGGGCTACGAGTCCGGCTGTAGATAGCTGTTATTGGGAATACACGTGATTAGATAATATACAGAGCCGGCCAGATGATATGCTCCCCATTTCTAGCTATTTTTGGCTGGTGACTAGCTGTTGCCTTGGTTCAGAGAATTTAGCTAGCTATCTGTTTTAAGTTTCTCGTGGCTTCAATGATATCATAAGTTAGTTAAACTCTGCTCAAATAGATTTTGCACGGCAACTTCGTGTTGTACAACAGCTTCTACAATATGAATACGAATATGCCGGATCGCAGGACATTAACATTTGGGTAAATGCGTAATACTAATCTTATACTGTCAATATGATCAAAATTTCAAGTGCATTTTTGCAAAGTCAGTTTCATTCAGATAGACGCAAAGCCAATTATACTCTTTTCACTGTGTGAACAGGTAAAAGTTTTAAAATGTTGTTGACAAAAAACCGATTCGTTCATAAATTCAACCTTTTTGATGATTTTTT